TTGTTGTTGTTGTTGTTGTTGTTGTTGTTGTTGTTGTTGTTGTTGTTGTTGTTGTTGTTGTTGTTGGTAGATTTAATTTTTGGGTTCGTAAACAAAAAAACTGATGGGACTTGTTGCCAAAAAGCTCCAGTTTAGTCTCGTCTGTTCTAAGGACGTTCTCCCAGAAGTTTTTTGGTTTGTCAATATGAAAATTTCAGTCTGGCTTTTTAATGATCTGGTGTCCTCATTGGTCGTCTTTTATTAAGTCCACTTTGACTGATGGTCCAAACTGATGAACCTTGGGGTTCATCTCTCTCTGGAAGTTGTTCTGGGCTCTTTGGTTACCACTGGTTTACCTGTCTCTATGGTTTGCCCATTTTTTCTCTTGTGGACTTGTCCATGAAGGTTGTCCACTGTCCTCCTGTGGACCTTAAACTTCTGAATAATCTGCAGCTGTAGTCACGGGAACATCAAACTGTTTGGATGTGGTCTTGACCTTTAACGTGCTTGTCAATCATTTTATTTCTAAGCTCCTGAGACGATTCTCTCCTCGGCTTTCTGTGGTCCGTGTTCAGCGTGTTACACACCGTGAGACCAAACAGCATCGTGACTACTTCCCCTTTAAACAGCAGACTCACTGATTGAAAGACACCTGTGATGTTTGTTTTATAATTTATTCAGTTGATCCACAATTCAAAATTAATATCTGATTTTCATTAGTTATCAATAAAGATAATAATTGACAGTTTCAAGTTATTTCTAAATTACAACCCTTGTTTAGCTGGTTAACACGAAGTACTCGTTTTCTTTGATTTACTTCCTATTGTTTGTGTATTTTATTGTAGGTTCCTGCTTCTGCAGCTCAAAGATTTCTGTGGTGAATTCCTGAAGAAGAAGTTGAGCCTGACTAACTGCGTAGCAGTCCACAGCCTGGCTCACATGTACACCTTGGACCAGCTGGCTCTACGAGCTGCAGACATGATCCGACGCAACTTCCACAAGGTCATCCAGGACGAGGAGTTCTACACGCTCCCCTTTCACCTGGTCCGTGATTGGCTGTCGGACGCAGAGATCACCGTGGATTCAGAGGAGGTGCTGTTTGAGGCTGTGGTGAAGTGGGTGCAGAAGAACCTAGAGGACCGGAGCCGCTACTTTGAGGAGCTCTTCCGTCTCCTCAGGCTGCCCCAGATAAAGCCCACCTACCTGACCAGAGTGGTAAAGAACGAGCGGCTGGTATCGTCCAACGAGTCCTGCCTCCGGCTGGTGTCGGAGGCCGTGGAGGGTCACGCTATTCGCTTTGAAAACCTCAAGTCAGCAGATATGGAGTTCTGGTCTTCACACATGGCCTCCTTTCAGCCTCGCTTCGGACAGAATATGGACGTGATCATGGTGGTGGGAGGAGTATCTGAGGGAGGCGACTACCTGAGCGAGTGTGTCGGCTACTTCATTTACGAGGACCGTTGGGTCAACTTGCCTCACATCCACAACCACCTGGACGGCCACGCCATCGCCACCACAGAGTCCCACGTCTACGTAGCGGGCTCTATGGAACCGGGCTTCGCTAAGACCGTGGAACGCTACAACCCTAATTTCAACACGTGGGAGCAGGTCAGCAACTTGACGACACGCAAGCACTCTTTCGGCTTAACTTGCATCAAGGATATCCTGTACAGCATCGGCGGCCATGGCAACTTCAGTCCAGGTTTCAAAGACGTCAGCGTGTACGAGCCCGAGCAGGACAAGTGGCACAATCTGGAGTCTGCTCCCAAGATCCTGCGGGACGTGAAGGCGGTGAGCGTGGAGGATCGATATGTGTATGTCACAGCACGCACACCTGTGGATACAGACAACGACGATGGACTGAAGACGGTGACCACGCGTTACGACACGGAGAGCCGCCAGTGGCAGGATGTTGACTCCCTGCCACTTATTGACAACTACTGCATCTTCCAAATGGCGGTGGCTTCAACGAATTTCTACCACACGGCTTCTTGCTGCCCCAAGAATTACACGGTGAGGGATGAAGTGGCCAGGCAGAAGATCAGTGTGCGTATCTCTGATGAGATCCTGGAGAGCCTGCCTCCAGAGGTAACCAGCATCGAGGGCGCCGCCATCTGCCACTTCGACGAGGACGTCTTCATCATCGGAGGCTGGAAGAACAGCGACGACGTGGACAAGCAGTACCGCAAGGAGGCCTATCGCTACTGTGCTGAGCGCAAGCGCTGGATGCTGCTGCCGCCCATGCCTCAGCCGCGCTGTCGAGCGACGGCCTGCCACGTGCGCATCCCGTACCGTTTCCTGTACGGCTGCCAGCGGTATCCCATGCCCCAGAACCTAGCTCGCCAGCGAGATCGCATGCAGCAGATGCAGCAGCTCCACAGGCGCACCCTCACCTTGCGTCGACAGCTCCAGTCGCAGATCGAGTGCTGAACGGGCCGGCGTGCACTTGATCCTGGATCCACGCAGCTCCAGGATTCACAGCAAACCGCCGCAGCCGTCCGTTCATAACGCTGCTGTGGGGCTCGCGTTGCTTTTGTATTCGTTTATTCATCGGAACTGTGACGTCAGCTCCCAGCCTGTGTTGTGTTATTTACTCATTCGTGAAAAGCCATGAAACGTGGGCGGGTGCGTACTGACCAGGTATTAGTCTGTGACAAGGAATATGTGAATAAGAGTCTTATACAGCAGCCAAAACTAAATCTACTTTAGTCATTGATGTTAATTCAGATGCCGGTTATCTATTTGTACATAAATAGTATAAATCTGTATATGTATACATTTATATTGATATTTTACATTCCGTTCTTTGTTCTGGTAAAGAATACGTGACGTCAGTTTCCGACATTCTTAAAGTCTCATCATTCCATTGTAACCGACAATCCCCTTATGGAAGTGTAACTGGTTTAAAAGTCTTAATTGACGTCACTTCTAATCGTGCCGTTAGCCGCCGCGTGTTGCTTTACAGCTTCTACATCTAATGTGAGTTACGTGTTTATAATATTGCAGGAAGTCTAGACATTTTATTAACCTGTTGTGGACCGGTCTGCTCCTTCTGAACAGCTGTAGTGGGTTTTTGGTCATTTTTGCTCTTCTTCTTTTTTTTTAGGTTTCTGAAGAGTTTAAAGACGTGACAAGATTTAATGAAATTATTTCTCCATTTGTCACGTTAAAAGATTATATTGTGCATTAAGTACCAAATCAGCAGCAATGGCTCAATCATTCCTCTCTCTTGCACTTTTGAAGGTTGGGTATCGATGCATTCCTGTTCATTTGAGGTGAAATGTAGAAAATGTACATGTCTGAATGTGGGGGGTGTTTATGAATTGTGTTTGCACAGGGTTCAGTTGTTGTTCTGGAAGGTGGTAGAAGTTGAATTGGAGCTGCACTTTTTAACATCTATAATTGTTTATAAAGTCTTAAAGAGGCAATGTTTTGCCACTGCACTTTGGGTTTGCTTCATATCAGACAAAGTGATTGTATGCAGGATTTTTTTTTTAAATCAACTTTCAGCTAATAAGTTTTGAACTTTGAACAAACACGATGTTATCAGAATGGGCCAAATCGCTTCAAGCGTAAACGTCTCGTAAAACCCTGTTTTGTTGTACTTCACTTCCTGATGGGTGATGTGATCTCGGTTTGTTGTCTCCTCTTGTCCACCAAAGAGATTTAAGAGATGGAATGAAAATGTAAAAAAATTGAGCAAATCTGATCGGGATTGTTATGAATGTGTTGTGGCTGACATTCAAAAATTCTAACGGTCTTTGCAGGGCTTCTTAAGGTTACAGAAATGATATTCATTTCCACTTTATGACCAACATAAATAGAAATGCAAATATTAATTGAAATAAGCTATGTATTTGCTTTGCATGTGATGTTCTGACGTTGTGTCCTTAATATTGGATGTAAGAAATAATAAAGTCAGCACTTGCAATTAAAGATGTTTTGTAAAAGAGAAGCACACTTGTATATTATTACTTTATTGGACACCTATGTATCTTACACACATCACTGCTATTAAATGCATCACTTAGTTCCATTAACAAGTTACAACCACATGTTTTGACAGTAAAAGATCAGTGATTAAAAAAATTTACTCAGAATATATTGCTGTTACGCCTGTAGTCAACTTTAAAACCGTCTGGATCTTAATGAGCTTGTCTCACTAAATGAATTTAAACCAGGACTAAATATTCTAGATAATCATGTAAAGGTAGGTAGGTGCAACTGTTTTGAAATATCTTGTATTGTTCATCTTAACTGCTGATATGACTGCATTATTACGTAATTTTATAAATTGTTAGTGTTTGTAATTACTGTTTAAAGATGCTCTTTCTTGCCCTAGATACGTTTGAAGTACATATACCAAGAGTTCTATTTATTGGTTAAATAAAAGTTTTACTATCTTGCAGGAACCTAAACATCAACAGGAACCTAAAATCGATGCTTTACACTTTTGGGGGGAAAGTCCACACCGTCGCACCTCAAGTGACGTAAAGCCAACGCTGCCTTCGGGTATCAGTCATATGCTCGTAAATAATTTAAAGCAGGTAACTCAAACATTTATCTATCTCGTTTTTTAATTTTATTTATTCATTTAGTTAACAATTGACATTTAGATTTTTAAATTACCTGATTATATTTAACAACCATCTCTAACCCAACTTATTTTGAATCAGTAAACTGCAACTGCTGAAAAAATTCCGACGCTTCCGTGAGCTTTGAACGTGGCACTGGCGTTGCGTTGCCGACACGGATGCGCTGTAAAAAGAACCGGCAACTCGTGAAACAGTTGTCGCCAAGAACTCCGCAACAGTCCAGCACTACTTTGTCAGAAAAAATGGTAACACTTTCCTGGTGACTTTTAGATGAATTTCAAACACCTAAAGATTAACCATAAAGCAATAAGCTAGTTTACCGGTAGCATGCTAAAATGTTTTTAAGCTAACGCTAACTGACAATTCCGGAAGTAACGAAAATGCGAATAGAAATGCTAAAACTAGACATTTGAAATGTTTCCGCTAAACAACGGTATGTTGTAAAGGATTAGATGGCTTGCTAAAGGACACTGTTACATTTATCAGTCTGGTTTGCTGGGTACAAAACTTCCGTTTTATTTATTTCATTTATTTTACAGATTCCGGAACTGTCCAACCCGTCCGTGTGTATGAAGGATCCCCAGAGGGTACAAGAGATCCTCCAGTCCATCTTGGAGGCTGGCACGAACACCTTGCAGGTGTCTTCCTCGAAAATCATAAACGCAGTACTTCTCACACAACAAGTCATCATAGTCCAAGTTCATTTTCTTGTTTCATTCAGGTGATCTCAGATTTTGACATGACCCTAACAAGGTTTTCTTACAACGGAAAGCGATGTCCTACCTGCCACAGTAAGTGTCCTACCTGTCACAGTAAGTGTCCTACCTGTCACAGTGTCCTACCTGTCACAGTAAGTGTCCTACCTGTCACAGTAAGTGTCCTACCTGTCACAGTAAGTGTCCTACCTGCCACAG